CTTAATCAGACGGAGCCGATCCAGAGCGGGACAAAAAAAACAGACCTCGAGGAGGGAGTCGGTTTTATCAGGTGGAAAATGGTCGATTCATTTTGGCATTGTATGTTATAGAAGAAGTCAGCGACCTGGTGACCTGTGCATGCTGCCCACCCCCTGTGGTTCCCAAATCAGTCCTGACTCGGTGACCTTTAATCGGGTTGAAACAGAGGTGGTTGGTCGTTTGGTTTGGTACCTGCGTGGCACTTTTCTACTCAGCCGAGCGCTCACCCAGTCACACACACATTCATTCAGTGCTTTGATCTAACATGATTTCTAACATTCACACTCCAAGCAATTCATTAGGAGCAACTTGAGCTTCAGGATCTTTCCTGAGGGTATTTCAGCATGCGGACTTGAGGAATCTGGGATTAATCCATTGACTTTCCAGTTGGTAGACGACCCATTCCTGAGTCACCCCAATTTTCGTGTGCATGTGTGTATATTTGTTCACCAAAGATATATGAGGTAGTACTCCTGTTCGAAAGATGTCCCGTGAACGATTACACGGGAGTGTAACGATTACATGAGGAGTGTGCTTCTATCCCGTGATCACGGAGGTTGGACCCGCTGCAGTCCAGGGCGATGGAGTTGGAATTCATTGGGCTGATTACTCAGTTATATAAACTTTAAGAAGTAAAACCTTTAAGACAGTCGTTCGCATACACAAACGCACACACGCACTGATTAGCAAGTAGACACAACTCTCTCCACCCAACAACCTCAGATAAACTAAGACTGAACATTAATGTTGTGATGACATCAGTGTGTAAAGTGTTTTTTGCTACAACTAAACAACACGGCTTTCATGTGTGAGAGAGGGAGTGTAAGTAATGGACATGAGCACATTCGCTTGATGCTAATTGCCATTTGTCTTGAACTGAAGCCTTAATCACCTCAGACCTATAATAAGCCTGGTCTCTTTCTGCAGCGGGCTGCTGGTTAGACTGGTCTGTGAGTCAGGATTGTCATGGAAACATCACGGACAAAGCTGCAGCATTGACTTTGGTTCTCTGGCCAAATGGGTCACTTTGTTTTATTGTAGTGGTGCTGACATTGACTCGTGGGGAGTGAACTCTTGGCTGGCATCTGATTTAATTAAATGTAGGTACTACTACTGAAAATCAGCATAGTAAAAACATATAAACAGCAGTAGCAGCACCCTTTGTGCTTATCCTGTAACACAGAAATGAAAGACACTCATTTGCTTTTGTATTTTTCGGAGACTTGAAGAAGATCGAATCAGTGTGGCACATATATTGTGTGCAGATGCAAATCTGCTACCACCTGCCAGCGTAACGCTAACAAAGGAAATTAGGGCTGACATATCCACCATACAGTATTCAATTCAGTTTTATTCATACAGCACCAAATCATAACAAGAGTCTCCTCAAGGCGCTTTATATTGTAAGGTAGGTCCTACAATAATACATTCAGAGAAAAACCCAACAATCATATGACCCCTGTGAGCAGCACTTTGGCAACAGTGGGAAGGAAAAACTCTCTTTTAACAGGAAGAAACCTCCAGCAGAACCAGGCTCAGGGAGGGGTGGGGCCATCTGCGACCTTGGTGGTTGGCTGTATCCCAATTCAGGGTCTGCAGCCTCAACGATCCTCAAGGGCCGCGTACTCAAAGACCGCTAAGGCCGGAAGTGCGAGGCTTGTGAAATGGGACGGTCTAGCCTCCGTTGCGCTGCCCAGGTTGCCTAGCAACCATGATACTAACAGCTGGAAACGTGTCATACAGCTGTTTGACAGAAATGAAGGAGAAAATCTTTTGTTCATGTTGTTTGTTTCTACATGAGCTTTGATCATTCTCTGTGAGATTAAGCTCAGCTATTGAACGGCGTATATTTTAAAGTAAAGGCTTTAAAACCAAGTTAGTACAAACGTCACTAATGTCACATGACTTTGCCGACATGTGGCCAACAGGAATGTTTTAATGTTCTTCGTTATTAAACATTTGCACATAAATAAGTGACATAATATTCAGTACTTAAAGTTTACTCTTCGGCCGCCCCTCATCCGCCGTTTTTTTTCGGCAAAATTATCCACACCCACCGCCGCGCTATGCATTCTGGGATATGTTGGGCCATGAACGGAAATGAAGGACGCATTTGAGGGCCGCATTTCGAGCAGCCTTTGAATTGGGACAGCCTTCGGCGCGCCGCTGGACGTAATTCGGCCTTGAAATGCGGCCTTTAAGGCTGCAGACCCTGAATTGGGATACAGCCAAAGACATGCTGTGGAAGATTGGTTGGTTGTCCAGTTTGTGCCTGTATAAAATATATAAATGCAGAGAAACATGTCTGAGGTAATTTTGCAGTAGTGTCATCAGAAAGAACTCAGTCACCTGCAGCGTGTGTTGCAGAGACTGAATTAAAGTTGCGATTAACATTTTGTGCAGTCTGTATGTGAAGGATGGGCATAACTTCCAATTTGACATAAACACCTTAAACCTCCATTTTTTTTTATTTTTTACATTTTTTTTATTTATTTATCTTTTGTAATAGCCGGTTTAGGACAACTCCCAGATACAGAAAGATATCTGGGAGTTGTTGTGTAGACATCTATGGATAAATTAACTGAGCTCTCACTTGATTTATGACCTCAGCAATCAGGCTGATGAGCATTAATTCCACCTGTTTTTGAAGAAACATAGATTCAGAACTGGGGAAAAACCAGCTTATTCTCAGTAGCTAATAGCTTGAAATTTAAGTCTTTAGCCAATAAGCGCGCAACGTCCCTCAGGTTCACAGTTTGATAGGTCTGTTGGGCGGATCGATGTTTATCTAGCTTTCAGCATAAAGAAATATCTATTAGGTGAAGCAACCTTGTGTTTTCTGTCATCTACCTGCCTGATATTTCGCCTGTATGATGTCCCCAGTTTAAATTGTGAGTGATCTCTATGGACGAGGTAGCAGTCCTTACACAGAAACATTAAAGAAGCAGAAAGACTCAAGCAAGGATTGTATGGTTTGAAGCTCTTGCAGGTGTTCACAGAGCCATACAAAAAACAGAGGGATGGATTCCTGAAGGACCAGCATGCTGCTGCCACCTTTGGTTGTTGCCACGGTGACAATTTATGTCGTCAGTGACTGATGGATGCAGCGACCCTGGCCTCGCCTGTGTGTCCAAGAGGAGATAGAGAGAATGCAATGAGGTGTGGGCGTGCACAGCGTTAGAGAGAGGAAAGGATGAATGAGTAGGAAAGAGCTGGAAGAGGACATGACAGTGCATATGATAAAAATGTGTGTGTGGGGGAGGGAGTGAGGAAGAGGGGGAGAAAGGGAGGAAATATGCAGGTGTTGAATATGGATGAAAGGAAACAAAGAAAACAAACATGTGACACAGAAACTGTGTGTGAGATTGGGTGAGGATGCACGCACATGTGATCCTCCCCTCCTCACACACATCCTTCTCTGTGTGAAGCCCCTCTGCAGCCACCGGTGCTCCGGCAGCAGGGTTGCCATGGTAATGTAATCCAGGCAATGACGCTCGGCATCTCTCTTACAATCAGAGGAAGGCTGAACACACCCAGCTCAGCTGCACCGTGAGAAGAGCAGTGGGAGCAAAAAAAGGAGGGGGGGGGGGCAACGCCCACAAAGTGCAGCCGAGAGGTGGAGGCGTGCCGGCTTTCACAGGATCACAGGGTGGAAACGTTCACGGTCTTCATGTACGGCTCCTGTGCCGTGCATTCGTTTAGTGAGTTATTGGACGTTCTGGCTCATTCGGACCACTTCCTGTGCAGAAGTAAGCGACACCGTCTTAAAGCCTTGTGTTGCCTTCCTAATGATGGAGGTCAGATAGAAGCAGTCTGTAAAAACACAAGACGCATGAACCATTGAGCCAAATGTACCAAATCTATAAAATGAAATTCAAAAAATGAGAATAGAGTTTACATTGTTGGTAGTTTTGCTGTATTTTGGACTGCAGTGCTCCCCTGTGGAGATCCTTCGGGTTAGTGCAATCAAAAATAGTGAAAGAACCAAATACGTTTTGTATGGGTTCAGGTCGCCCGGCACTTTAATGAAGTCTGGGATAAAAGCTTAGTGGCTGAAGGTGTGTGCATACCTTTCTTGTATATTTTACTACATTGTGATACTAATAATGCACCATGCAATGATAAAGCATCACAACATAATATATCAGTAGGATTTTGAAATTTGGTGACAGTATTCTGTCTAGACAACCAAACCCTGTGAGGGAAGACGGCTCAGATCTGTCGCTGCAGTTTAAAAAGAAAGAAGCTCCACCCGTCCTGAAGGCATCAGGAGACTCCTCCTGACATTAGAAGCGTAGCCTGGTTTGTCTCGCTGTGGTTGGCTGCAGTGGCTCGGTGTTTCCCTCCATGCGGCCTACTTTCTGAACACGCATCCGTCGCAGCCACTGGCTGCTCAGTCCTGCTACACCCAGGCAGCAGACCTACTGTATTTGCATGCCTGGGGGCGCTTGTTTGGCCTCCTCCTAGATGGGTGGGTGGTTGGAGGGAGATATGGATCGGTCGTATTGATCTGTCTCCTTGTTGTCTGTTTGTTAACTGCTGTGTCTGATTCTCAGGATTTATGTGTTTGGAGCCTGAAGAGGCGTGCGTGGGTTTTGAGTTTGGTTGGTTGAGTTATCTGTATATTTATATTTAACAGATAACCCAGACTGTGGGACCTTTGGGTGAAGAACAACTGTATGATAATGAGTATGTCTGCAATAGAGATCTCATTAATCTCATCCCCATCATTTCTATTGACACACTGACCTGATACGTTGGGTTTATAGCACTGCTGTCTCTGGCTTTAAGTGCTGATTGGTCTTAATTGAATGTGTTTCTTTTGTCAAAGCTTCATTTTTTTTAAATTAAAGCTGCAAAATGTAAGACAAAAAATCTTCCCAACAGTTTTTGCTTTCACTGATATAAAACTGTGGATTATCTGATATTTTCCTCATAATTTTCTTTCTTTTTCCTTCAGGGCAGTTACCCCGTCTGGGATGACTTCATCAGCAAGGCCAGCAAACTACAGTCACAGCTAAGGTAAAAATGCTTATTACATGTCGTAACATGTTTATTTACAAAAGACCAAATAAAGGGTTTAAAAATGACTTACTTGAGGGGAAAAGAAGAGCGAGAGGTTGAGCCACTGGCATAGGCCCGGCCCACATCTTCAGACGCCCCGAGTCTGTCATCAGAGACGGCACCTAGAACTCAGAGACGCAGATCACACAGGAGCCGAGCAATAACAGGAGACGGGGTGACACACAACAGGAGATTGAAGGGTTTTCTCCAGCCTGGCTCCTGTAACGACAGCATCAAAGAACTGAAAATAACACGCAAGCGAACAAGTGAAGAAAACACAAATATACAAAAAACGCACCAGAGACAAAAAGTAAAAAATAAAGCAGGAAATCCTGCAAAACATGCAAGTCTCAATTCATGCAATCATGCAATAAAGTGCAGAGTACTGATGAACGTGTCACTATCTTATCTGTTCGACGCATGTGATCAGCTTCCTGAAAACAGCGATTGTGTTCAGTGCAGAAGTTGCTCTTGTGTTGCTCTGAGAGCATTTACACGAACTTTCTCAGAATCGGTCCAGTAGCACCAAACTGTGGCTTCTCATTGGTTTATGAAGAAGGTTATTTAGTTTCAGAAATGCAAAACTTTTGGGTCTCTGTATCCTCATTGAGCTGTTTTATATTGATTATTTATACATAGAGAATCATATTCATTGCTGTTTTAACCTTAAGATAAAAGGAAGCGTACCCACATCCTGAGAGTGTGCATAACCTGAGCTCATGAACATCCAATCAGTCTGCTTCATTAGGTGTCTAAATGTCAGGCTCACCTCTCCTGTCACCTCATCCCTGACGTCCTGACACACACACACACACACACACACACACACACGGCTGAAGGTTGCCACCATCAATAGAAACATGTACACACACAGACCACAAAAACCACACACTTGAGCCTTGACAAAGTCTCCACACGTACATGTTTACTCACTTACACTTTTCAGCCATTAACCAACCAGCAATGACTGCCTTCACATACACTGTGTAAAGACGCGCGCGTACACACACACACACACACACACACACAAACACACACACACACACACACACAAACACACACACACACACAACAATTAACCTTCTGTGGCTGGCAGAGATTAATGATGCCACCATAAAGTCATTATCAGCGAGATGGATCGGCACTGAGCCTCCAGAGATTCTGTCCTGGGACAGAGGTCATCAGAGGTCAAAGCTGATTGCTAATGACTCGATCCTTCGTCCTCTTCCTCACCCTGCATCTATTCTGTGGGGGGATTGTCTCAGTGTTTCAAAGGTGCAGAATTATGAATTTGCACATTTGAAATAGTTTCTCTCCCTGATGATGAGTCAGAGCATATGTCGCATTTTAAGACTGATTACTTGAGTTCAAAGTGCTGCGCCTGATTTGAATTTAGAAGGACGGGGAGCTTTGTTGCTCCAGATCAGCTGAGTGATGACATGATATTAAAAACACAAAGAACAAATCAAATGAGTTTAACATAATTTTTTTCCAACAAAAAATTAAAAAGCCAGCAAGAAAGAAATAATGAATAGAAACGGCTTTTTCTGTGTTTCTACTTCCTGTTTTGTGTCTTCCAGGACGACAGTTGTCGCTGTAGCAGCCTTCCTGGATGCCTTTCAGAAGGTGGCCGACCTGGCAACTAACAGCCGAGGTAAGATGGACGAGGTCCAGCCCTTATGGGGACCAAAGTCCTGGTCCTGGTAGCAGGCACACTGTAAGGAGGATAGTACTTAAAGAATCGAGTGAACAGAGTCAGGTGCAGCTGCTGGTTATCGTAGTAAAGATGTCGGTAAGAGTACTTGTCGTATTTCTTACCGTATCCATTAGCTATTTGTTCGGTTCTCTGACATTCATCATTGTGGCTCTTTGGGGCCTTTAATCAAACCATAATGTTGTTAGACAGCACAGTGCAGATATAACCTGCAGGGAACAGGGTGTGCTGGTAGAAGGACTGACAGCAGCAGCTTTGGCTTGTTGCATATAAAAGAGAGACGAGTGCAGTGGATGCTGTTTTATATGTACGGTCATCTGGACCAAGTGATGCTTACTATCATATTATGTGTTGCGTTTGTAATTTCTGCTGTGCCTCTTGGTCAGGTCTGTCCTGAAAAAGAGATTTCAATCTTAAATGTGCACGTGCTGTTTCTGGACTTTTCATTTGCATTTAGCTACAAGAAGACACATCTTGATGCAGTGGTTATACAGCTGAAGGTGCACAGCATGAGCATCAGATGAATCCTTTGGGTTGGATTAAACGCCGTGTTCTCATCTACTTTCATTATTACTGAGGCCCCACAGTGGCGTGTTGTATCCTCAGCTTTATTTATGGAGTGGAGAGTGACGTATTGCAACCTTTTCATGGTGACATGAGTTTCTCTCATCAGGACGAAGGTTTAAAGCCGCGTTTGTGAACTTTCCTACCTGGAGATCTTTCACCTTCGTGTGTGTGTGTGTGTGTGTGTGTGTGTGTGTTGCTTGTAATGCTGCATGAGCTTTGATTCTTATTATTGTTGCTGCTGTTGTTATGGAGCATTCTGTTGTTAGTGTGTTGTGATGCCTTCTCGGTTGCGTTTACCTGACAGTTACCAGAAGAACACAAATGAAATTTCCAAGAGGACAATAAAATCGTACTTTATTTATTGGCTGTTTGTCAGCCAATAGGAATCAAACAGGAGAAGCCTGGTTTTTAGTCAAAATGTTGTTGTTATATATGAAATGCATCCGTGCTTAGTGGGTTATTATTTTAGACGCAGAGGTGTCCGGCACAGAGTCCACAGAGAAGAGCAAAAGGCTAGTGATGTAAAAGCCGCAGCAACACTTGGAATATAAAGAAGAGCTGTATTGTTTTTAAATAAATCAAATAAAAATGGATGAAAGGCGGGGAGCTGGGACCAGGACAGGGCCCTGAGAGGTCGTAGGTTTTCTTTAAACATAGTTAAAGACTCACACTTTCTCAGCAGCTCGGAGCATGAAAGCTAAAAACTGCTTAGCCAAAAGTTTTTGTCCAGCAACAACTAAAAGAGGAGCCGAGAGCGAGAGTCCAGGTTCACAGCAGACGAGTGGGCCGCTGCGAGACCACTAAAGTGCTTTAAAGAAGAGCGAAAGAGAGGAAGCGAAACATTTCCCGGGGCTTTATGAATCTGCTTATGCTTGCACAGAGATGAGAGGAAAAAAGGGAGAGAAGATGGAGAGGAATCACAGAAAGAGCTGAGCTGAAAGTGGAAACACTCCCACGCACACAGCCTTCATTACTGCTCTCAGGAAGCATTCAGCTGACACACAGCTGCTCCAGAGGGCGACCATCAAGGTGTCTGTGTGAGAACTAGAGATGTTCGTTAAAGTCTGATTGGTGATTAAGTTCGTCAACACTTTGGTTGTTCTTGTTTTACTCATCGTGCTGATGGTGGAGTCTCTGAAGTGTCAGCAGAATGTAAAGTCCTCAGCAGCTTAAACAGCAACAAGTCTGACTGCAAACTTAGGAAAAGAGCCGGAGAAATAAAAGCATCCTGAAGCTTCAGATTTATTCTTCCTCAGTCAACAAACTGCAGGAGGTCCCAGTATTCTGTGCTGCTGTTTTTGAAGCTGGCTGCACGCTTTCTATTGATTTTTACTTTTCTGCTATTGACAAATGATCAGAGGCTGCTGTCTTCATGATCACTGGACTGTAACATCAATGGTGGTTGCTTCCTGGATTGATTAAGTGGAGGAGGCGGCCTTTATGGGCATGTTTGTGAGATTGTGTGTGTATACCATGCTTTCTAGTTTTCTTGTTCAGCACGACTCTTTATTGTTGTCGTTCTGAGGAGATCCATCTCTGTTCAAAAGTCTCGAGTCCAGCGATTTATTTATATTTTGCTTCCAGTGAGCCAGACTACTTTAGGTCAGGAGAGGGGCGTGGCCATGATGGTCTACAGCGTGTGTAAAATGCGGTGGAGGCTGTGTCATGATGGGGCTGCGTTTAATCTAGTGGTGTTGGAGATTTTCAAAACGGGATGAAATTATGAATGCTAAAGTACCGCACGTAAGGTTGTTAGAATTCTACAAACTCGGTTCTTGCCTTCATGTTTGCACTTAATAATCCACTTCCCATTTGAAGGTTGGTCCAAGACTTTTGCACAGTTCTGTGTGTGTCTGTGTGTATTTACGCATGCATCCTTAGGGCTGGATGCCGGCCAGCTTCCTGTTGAGGCGACTCGCTGTCATAATGACAACAGTAGCAGAGGAAACGATCAGTCACTGTCTTGATGATTCAGGCACTCTGTACCTGTGTGCGTGCGTGCACACCTGGAGCTACATGTTGAATTATTGGTAACTGTTGGGCCAGTTAGGTTTGTAGAGCCCCGCCTCACAACCTCAGACTTCAGCATCCACAGCTGGTTTCATATATTTTATACTGAACATATATTAACACGGTGTCTTTCTGACAGGTGATGATAATTATCACAGCTAGGCTCTGTGGCCCCGTCAGGCAGCGCCTGGTCTGCAGCCGCTGCTTTCCCCAATGTGGCTGTAGCATCAAATACATCACATTAAGTTATTTTTGTTTTTGAAATATATCTCTAAACTTAAATTGAATGAAATAAAAGCATTTGTTGGTAGAACTAGCTTAGCACATCTTGTTCTATTTTTTCCCCACACCCACACAATGGCTCTGTTTGAGCTTTAAGACTCGTTTTTATTGTTGAGGTCATGTTTCTGTGCGTCATGTGACTCACTGATAAAGACAGATGCATTTAACATGGGATATACAGGTTTTCTCCAAACCTCTGTAACATGTCCAAAAATAAAACGAGCATGGAAAAAAGGAAATTGTTTTGTGGTTGAACTAATGCCAAACGTATAAGCCTAATAGTCATTAGGACCTAGTGTGTTAATGCGTTATTTTATTGTTATCATTGTAAATCTTACTAAATGAAATGTGTGATGAGGAGCATTATAAAGAATCAGGAAGAACAGCTTTCATGTTGGTTTTAATCTTTAATGGAAGCTGCAGTGATCCTGCTCTGATAGCTGTGATTTATTGAAATGAACTCTTAGTCCTATCGATATTCCCAGCTTCACCCTTATCCCCTGCATTTCTAGATTAATGGAGACACATGGGTAGAAGAGGGGTGAAATTAGAGGAATAGATGGAAGCTGTGTTCAACCAAGGCGAGTACGGATTGTAATTTGGGGAAAATTACAGCAAGTTCAAATACTCTGATGATGGGGAGTAGAGGAAAATTGGAGAGAAGGAGGTAGAGGGCAGATGGTGATCGGGAGAAAGGTGGAGGGGTGGAGAGGAGCGGGAGGCCGTTGGCTGTCGTGTCCAGCCGGCTGCTGCTGCTATTGCTCATGGCAACAAGATGGAAATCACTGCAGAATTCAGGCTGAGCAGCAGATGCAGCATCTCTAACTGCCCCCGTCTGTCTCTGCTTATCTCTTCTTATCTTATCAGTCCTTCAGTCGTCTTATCAGAAGTCGTCTCCGCTATCATTTGGATTTTCATGTATTCCCATGTATTTACATTTATTTGGATGTGCTGTTGTAGATCAGCTGATTAGTCCCTCAGGAGAAATGGAACTGCTCCCCTGTTTCCTCTTAGTGAGCCCACAGTGGGCATGAAGGTTTTCCTTCATCCTTTTTACACCCTGGAGGGAAATCTAGACAGGTTCTCTGCTATCTGTAATCATTGCACGGCTCGTTGCACAGACTGACTGGGAATCATGGAAATGACAGAGTGTGCAGAGGCTGTGTACACACAGGTTCAAAGACCTGGGCTCAGTTTTTGTCTGTTGCTGTCTAATTTTTGTTTTAATCAGAAGTCAAATTCTCGCCCTGAAGCTTTGCTTCTTGTACTGATGGCAAAATGGGATTGTATTGTACAAAAGGAGCTTTGTGCTGCGTTAATGAAGACTCGACACGAGTGATTGAGACCATAATCTCACCAGGAAAACATTTGCTTTACTCGTAAATCAGTGAACTAAAGTGTCATTTTCTCATAGATAGCTATGGGCTACTGTCAGACTTCTGATTAAAACGGCATTAATCGCCCCCTGCTGGCCATTAAAAAGACTGCAGGTTTAATGCTCTGTCCAGAAGCTTTGTCCATCTTTTATGTACACCTGTGAATTGATCCACAGGTGTTTCTGCAGTCTGTGGGGACACAAACTGTCCCTGCAGGTTGGTTGTTTAGTCCTATAGTATCACATGTGTAGGCAACATTTGTGCTGTTTAAGCTGAGTCATTATATTCTTTAATGTTTCCATTATTAAAAAACCATAATGAAGTGTGACCTTTTGTTTTGTTCCCTTTATGTGCTTTGATGGTGTTGTTGCATTCTGGTGGTAATATTGAGGGTGATATCCTCAGGTTACTGGATTTGCCAACAGATCAGTCACTCACTAAAGCAAAATTGAGTTATTATCGTTTTTTTATTATTATTGTCATGAATTTATTCATTTCTAAAAATCAGGTACACAATGAGCTTCAGCCTGTACCATGTACAGTATACCACATATGTGAAAATAAGGAGTTACTTCTTTTTGTGACATGAGGGACGTTAAGATGAAAGCTGTTACAGTAAAAACAGAACTTTTTTTTGTGATAATAAGAAATGGCCTGTATTTGTATAGCGCTTTACTAATAATACTTTATTTGAACTGTTTCCTT